AGTCAAATTTGCCTCGAAGGAGTTAGATGACAATTCAAAAGACTAGTTTTAGGTGGGTTTATTTGATCTGTATATTAATTTTTGTCTCTCTTTTTTTTTGAAATTACTATTTTTATTTTATTTCATCATTTGTTTGTGATCAATTTTTATCTGAGTTGTTAAACATTAATATCGCCGTATGCAAACGATTCACTTTTACCCCTTTCAAAAGATAAATATAGTAGGGCTACTCCTCGTATTAGGAGAACGAAGGGACTAACGGGGTGGAACATATGCGACGATGGCTTCCGTTTTCCCCACGCCGTTTTCTTGCGTGGCATTGCGCGAATCACGCCGTCAGGGGGGCCCACGTCGACCGCGCCTCGCGGAATGAACTTCCCCGTCGCCGGCAGATCGCCCCTGGATATCATTTCAACTGGAGGGATGAGGTGAAACGTTCGGGGAGCCCGCTTAACGATATATCCCCGGCGATGGGAGATCTTAGTCGGACGGAGGAGCATCGGCAGCGAGTCGCGGGCTGGACTCCCGTCGTGAAGCTCTTGAGCGATCAGCGCCTCCGTGTTGCCATCATTGGCCGGATGAATGGCGGGAAATCATCGCTGTTTAACCTCCTGTGCAGGGATCCTACCGTTCCCAAGAGGAAAAACATCGTGAAGGACTTTGAAGGCATCACACGGGATTCCGTTGAGGGCTATGCCGTGCTGAACGACATGCACTTCACCGTCATCGACACACCGGGTTTTGTGAATGGGAGTATTGTCGAGGAGTCTTTTCGGACGATTGAGACGGCAGACGCCATCATATTTGTGGCGGCTGTTGACCAAGATATCACAGACGAGGAGTACCGATTGGCGCAGTTTATTGCGCTAAAGCAGGTGCCAGCTTTTCTGGTGGTGAATAAAATGGACCTCGTGCCGATGGAGCGTGAGGAGGAGGTCCTGGAAAGCTACCGAGAACTGAGTATGGGCAATGCGATCCCGCTATCAACACGACGACGGGAGGGGCTCGACCTTATTGCGGCCGTCATCGAACCGCTGTATCACATCCACACCATGTACAAGGTGGAGAACGATTGGGATATTGAGGATCTCGCGATGCAGGGCGACGAGAGCGCCATGGAAGAGATCCAAGAACGCAACTGCACCGATCGATTCATTCGCGTCGCCATTGTGGGTCGCACGAATAGTGGGAAGACGAGTCTGATCAACCGACTCCTTGGCTTCGAGCGAAACCGCGCGGCGGAGGAGGCGAACACCACGCGGGATCCTATTGAGCTACCGTGCATGTACAAGGGCCGGAAACTGAAGCTCATCGACACGGCCGGCCTCACGCGGCACCGCTACCAGGTCGACCGCGAGTTTCTCAGCCGCCTTCACGAGCTCACGATCAACGAGATCCGCTACGCGCACGTGGTGGTGGTTGTCTTCGACGCGACGGAGGGGCACCCGAATAAGTACGACATGGCGATCCTCCACCGCGCCGCGGAGGAAGGGCGGCCCTTCGTGCTCTGCGCGAACAAATGGGATGCGGTGCTCGACCAGGCCGCCACCGCCGAGGCCGTCGACTTCAAAATTAAGCGGCAGGCGCGGGAGGTGAAGTACGGCAGCGCGGTCGTCGTCTCCGCGCGGGATGGGCTCAACCTGACGCTGCTCCTCGACCACGCCGTGGGGCTGTACGACCGGTGGAACCGCCACATTGGGAGGGGGGATCTGACGCGATTCTGGCGGCGGATGGAGCGCTCCGTGATCATTCCTCATCATGTTTCCCGCATCGGGCGGATCACGCAGGTCAACACCCGTCCCCCCACCTTCCGTTTGCAGCTTCAAACGAAGGATGACGGCAACCTCCTCCCGAAGGCGATGCAGGAGATGCTGAAGAACGCGCTGATTGAGGAGTACGACTTTAAAGGGGTTCCCATCCGCCTCATCCAAGATGTGCGGGACTCGAACCCGGATTACATTTAAACCGCGGTATCCCTCGCTCAGGATAAGTTTGTGTCGGAGAGAAGGGTGGGGTGGGGGTGAGTGGCGCAGAGAGTGAGAAAGAGAGAGGATTCGATTCAATTTCGATTTGAATGGAATCATGGCAGGACTCTAAAATACTGCTCAACGTTCGGATTTTATGTTTAACGAAATGAAAGTTATGGATTTTGTATGCTTTTTAATTATGGGCTCCTTTTTTTCTTCTTCCATTGTGTTTAATTACTTTTTCAAGAGCAATTTTTTTTCTTATGCTCAAGGAGGGATAGTATAGTACCCGCTACACATATCGCTGTAGATATATACCCAACCGGATTTTTCAGGAGATTTAGCTAAGCGAAACCTAGATTTATGAGGAAGCGAGCAAGACAGGGGACTGAAAGCGAGAGTGTAGAGGACGGCACCCCTCCGTGTAGCCCCGCGCGGGGAGAACCTGCGAAGATTCCCTCCACTTCTAGAACATCATCTCCTTCGCTTCCTCCTTCATCAGCCGGATCGGTATTACACCATCCGGATCCATCCTTACCGAAGGATCAAACGAATTTTGGAGCGTATGTATGGAATGAAGTCGGCGTCGTGCTTTTCTTTCGTTTTGCTCTCGAAATACGCAAGGTGTGTGTTGCCCTCTTGAAAATCATGGCCTCAACAACGGATGGGGTGGAACACTGCAGCCTTGCTTCAAGTCAAGACGCGCAAAATCTTTTAAGCTCTTTTGAACGAAATCTCCACGTTGCGTGGGAGGTGGGGAAGCGCCATTTCCCCCCTGAGGAGCGCCAGACGCACGATCCTGTCATCTTGCAGTGCATTGAAAAACTAATTCTAGCACTGCAGACCACCCTGAAGGATACGACGGATGTTCCGACCGCTTGCAGACAGCTGCAACGCTTCTTTGAAGATGAAGGGTTTCCACAGGAAGAAAATGGCGAGCTGTCTAATTTTCTTTTTGAATATCGCCAGAGCCGAGAGCTCAATGGGTACTCTTACCACTTGCGCTCCTCCATGCACCTGCCTTTGTTACCGCGCTACGAAGGTGATAAGAAACTTGAAGAGGAGCACATTCGGCCGCGTGTGGGGTACATCGTCGTGCTACCCTCTCCCCACCCCAATCCCAATGTGAACACAAGCGTGCAGCTCATTGAGCCGCGAAAGAAGCGAGCCCCTCTGGATGAGTATCGCATATTCTCACACCCCAAAAAGGCGTCTACCTACGGGGTGGAGGATTTTCTTGTGGACGAAGAGCTGACGTACCGGGCGATCATCGTGCTTAGATATCACCTGGATACCTTTGGCTCGCTTGTCGGCCTATCCCCGTACGCCCGCTTCCTGCTGTGGAATTTCCTCGGCTGCGACGACGAGGCATTCGAGCGAATTCACAACCGCCCGGCCACGACGCCCGAGGTGCAGGCGGAGCTCGCGAATCTGCACCGAACCATCGTGATCAAACAGAGGATTTTCGAGCAAACGCGCACCGCCGCTCGCGAGGCGGCGCTGCACATCGGTTGGTGCGCCATCAGCGCGCAGTGGCGCGATCAAATCCTCCACTCGCTTTCGGAGGTGAGCGAGGGGAATTGGTACTCCCTCGGCGAGATCCCCCGGCAAGGCGGCCGCGTGTTGTTTCCCAATTTCTCGGGCAACGCACTCGTCTGCGAGCTCGCGATGGGGATCCTCGCGCGGATGGCGGCCGTGTACGGCCGCGCTGCCCCACGGAAGGGCGCCCCCTCCACCGCCGTCGCCCAGCACGCGGTGAGGGCGGCGCTGCTGCCTTTTCTGAAGGGGGTCGCACCGCCGCCGGCGTCCGACGACGAGCTCGCGAGCTCCCTGCTTGGGCGCGGCTTGGGGGGTGGGAACGAGGCCGCCTGCCACGCCTGGAGGCGGCTTCAACGCGTCTTGGCGGCGCATCCGACCGAGGGAAAGGCGTCGGAAGACTCATCTAGCGTGGGCTGTGCGCACCGGCGTTATGCCTTCATTTGCTCCTCCATGCTTTTCCCCCTTCAATGCCTCGCGGAGCTGCTTGACCTGTGCTCGTTGGCCTACTTTGCGAAGGATGGCATTGCCGCTTTTTCAAGGAGTTTACTAAGCGCCCCCTGGACTTGTGAAGAGGATTTGATACGGTTTCTCATTCAGACGGAGGCGATGAATCCAGGCATCGCCCCGATTGTAGCCCTACCTCGGCTTTATCGAAGTATGGTTTCGGGCATTCAAAAGATGCTACAAGATAAGTTGCTGCTCTACGTCCTTGCCGTGCGACTTAAGGTTGAGAACTGTGCGACGGTACGCTTGAATCGAAAGGACTATTCCTACTGGAAGGCTTTGACTAGCATGAGTAGTGAGGACGGCGAGGACTACTCGGATAGTTTTTTGTTGTTGGAGGTGGAGGCGCTTGAATCTGCGCCGCCTCTTGAAACGCTAGCCGCGCATCGATATTATACAGAGGCCTTTTTAGAAAGGCCTCCACGTGTTTGGGATGAAGACTTGGAAGACTTTATGAAGGAGGAGGAACTTTATAAGAGGATGCATCTAGTGGAATCTAACAACAACGAGTGAGGTGTTCGTGTTGCGTTAAAGGTGCACAGCAAGGTGGTTTCATATCGGAAAAAATATTTTGCACCGTGTGAAAGCGGTGTGTTTAGTGAAACGAGCACCATTTGGGTGCTATATTGGGCTATACTTCTTTCCCTATTTTCCTTTCGTCTTTCTTGACTACTCCGTTGGGCTTAACCGCCGTAATGATGCGACTCTTTTTTAATTCGACCAAATCACCATAGGACACAAATGGATAAAAAAGGACTATAACAAGAGCGTGTTTTTGCTTATTTAATTTTATGAAGCCTTCCTCGGGAACTCCCGTTTCAATTTCCAGGCTTAGCTGCCTTGACGAGCGCATTCGAAACCTCCGTCAGAAGCTTCTTGATGGCTTTTTAGACCACAGCCCTTTCCTAGAGGTATCCATCTTCACCGAACTTGAGGGGATTATGACGAACCAGTTGAAGCCGTACTTTGAGGAGCAAATGCAATCCATTTCGTCAGAGGTTGTTGAGGCTCGGCAAGTGATTTCGCATTATATGCAGGATTTACTCGCTTCAGCACTATTTCTCATAGACGAGGAAAGCCTTAAAACCGCGCGCATAAGCATGAAGTATTTTCCACAGTGCCCTCCGACATCGTTAAATACTTCGATGTTTTACATCAATGCATCGCAGCGCCATTACTGTGCGGAGGTGTTCTTTTATTTGTGCTGGTGCGAGTGGATACCTGCGCACGTGATTATCCACGCCTTGTATCCGCTATTGGACACAGACCCTTCCGGAAAGGAAATTACTCCCCGCACATATGAACCCACAAAGGTGGAGTGGAAAAAGGACCCGAAGCTGGAGAACCATATCACCCTCAACTTATTAGCCAAGCATCGCGCCAAGAAGGCGGTTGTGATCGCAACGTTGAATGGGGTGGTGTTGATTCGCCCCAAGGGCATTGCCTCCCTTATCCGGACCCTTCTTCTGAATGATCGCGTGGAGGACGGGATGGCGGCAGAGGCCTCTAGCTACATCGTCAAACTCCTCCTGTCGCCTATGCGAAGCATGTGGTCTCACGACCCCTCCACCGGCATCGTCCAAGCGTCGAAGGTGAGTTATGAGGATCAGATGAGATTCGTTTCGCAGCAGATGCTCGTTCTTTTCGAGGAGCACGCCTCTCCGGCCGAGGAGGATCCAACGTCTGCTTCGGAGCCGCCTCTCCTCCGGCAGCTCGCGTTGGCGGGGAAGGTGCTGCCGCGGGAGACCCTCGAAGAGCGTCTGCATGGGTGCCTGACGCGATGGCTGAATGCGGCGCTGCAGCCCCCACCGCGGGAATCCCGCGAGGGGCATCGACGGGTTTCCTGGATCAACCGGTATTTCCTGACGCCCGCCTTCGGGGTGCTCACCCTCCGACGGCGCGGGGCGGTCGAGTCCGCCGCGG